ATATTGTATACACTCTTTCTTACTAATAAGGGGAAAAAAGAGGTCAATGTCAAAAGCACCTTGATTACAAATAACACAAATTACAGTGGAATTCTGATAAAGTCAACACCTCGGGACCGAAAAAAAGTTGAAATTGGAAATTGATGATAACAGCTACAAAATGACAAAGTACCTGGTAACAAGATGTTTGCTCAATTTCAGGGAGTATAATTCTGAAGTTATCGCCAAAACACGAGATAATGAGTGAACAAAGCAATTGGTGGTGTGTACACCACTAACTCAGGACCTAAATATCTCTTCTTAAATGAATTCATCTTGGGATCAAGCCCCAAATTATTGACTTTACGCCAGGGTAACTCTCAAGCGGTTGACTGTATCAGAAACACAATTACTTAAACAAAGAAGGTAAGAAACGGGACCACGGTGAGGTGTTGACTGTAAGCGAGAGTTGACTGTAAGCTAGTTGACTTTATCAGGATTCCGCTGTATCTGTTATTACTGATCATTATGCCAAAGACAAAAGGTGAAGTTAGTTATCATCAACAGATGCAATGTTCATTTTTACGTCAAATATATTTTTAAAATCAGGGGCATCTGCTGAACTGTCTTCCAAATCTGGGTCCTGTTCCTTCTCCTTCTCCTCTTCCTCCTCTTCTTCCTCCACCTCCATTTCTTCCTCCGTCCTGTGTAAAGCCCTGTGCCTCTTCAATGCTGCAATACCTGGAAAATACTTTCCCCATCCCTTGTAGCCTGTGCACTCTTTGGCCTATGAAGCCTTTCTTACACTTTTCTTACAGGAGCCAAAAACATAATCTTACACCTGGAAAAGGGGGGGGGGGGGGGTCTTTGGCTCCTGTAAGAAAAGTAAGAAAGCGTGTGTGAGGGGGGAGGGTCTTGAAACAAAGTAATATTACACTTTTGTGTGGTGAAAAAAGTGTGGTGTTGGTCAAGAAAGGCTGCATAAGCCAAAGAGTGTGCACAGGCCACAAGGGATCTTTCCCTTTTCTTACAGGTGCCAAAGACATAATCTTACCCCTGGAAGAGGGAGGTGGGGGGTGTCTTTGGCTGCTTTAAGAAAGGTGCAAGAAGGGGGGGGGGGTCTTGAACACAGGCCACAAGGGATGTAGAAAGTATTTTCCAGGTATTGCAGCATTGAAGAGGCACGGGGCTCTTTACACGGGAAGAAATGGAGGTTGAAGAAGAAGAGGAAGAAGAGGAACAGGAGAAAGAGCAGGAACAGGAGGAAGAGCAGGAACAAGACTCAGATTTGTAAGACAGCTCAGCAGATGCCTCTGATTTAAAAATATTTTGGACGTAATGATGAACACTGACTTTGTTGATGATAACTAATTTCACTTTTTGTATTAAGCATAATGAGAAGTAATAACTGATACAGTGAAATCCTAATAAAGTCAACTTGTTTAAAGTCAACTCTCGCTTACAGTCAACACCTCACCGTGGTCCCGTTTCTTACCTTCGATGTTTAAGTAATTGTGTTTCTGATACAGTCAACCGCTTGAGTGTTACCCTTGCGTAAAGTCAAAAATTTGGGGCGAGATTCCAAGATGAATCCATTTAAGAAGAGATATTTAGGTCCTGAGTTAGTGGTGTACACACCTCCTATTACTTTGTTCACTCATTATCTCTTGTTTTGATGACAACTTCAGAATTATACTCCCTGAAATTGAGCAAACGTCTTGTTACCAGGTACTTTGTCATTTTCTAGCTGTTATCATTAATTTTCAATTTCAAGTAGTACAGTGGATAAAGTCGACCTTGTTCAAAGTCAACACTTTTCTTTCGGTCCCGAGGTGTTGACTTTATCAGCATTCCACTGAAATTTGTGTTATTTGTAATTAAGGTGCTTTTGACATTGACATGAGTCTCATTTTGTCCCTTATTAGTAAGAGTGTATACAATATTTTGCTTGAATGATTTACACTGTAATGTTTTTAGTGAATGTAGAACAGCATACATAAATATTATGTAAAGTACATAGAACAATGATTGTAACGCGGATTTGCACGATATAAATCTTATGACATGTATTATTATTATAAGCAAACAATGTAATAATGTGGGATGGGGATTCGGGGCGGAGGGGGGTTGGGGGAGGGAGCAGCGTGGAGAGGCAAATGAAAAAAGTGTAAAAAAAGGAAGGGGGCAGGGGGTGAGGGGGCAAAAAGTCCCCAAAAGGGTATAAGATTATATTTGAACAGCTCCAAGGGCTGTGGGCAGGAAAAAGTGGAAGAAGGGGGGGGGGGGGGGGGGGGGGGGCTCGGTGAAAAGGAAATGCTTGGCTCTAAATAGTCACGTTTTTTTTAGAATTTCGAATGAAATTGGGTGCAATTTAAAGTCAGTGGTTATAAAACATACCAAAATGTATTAACCTTTCAAACTGAAGTTCCAAAATGTCTGGACGATGTACAATGTATTTCCCTGTCTTGTACATTTCCAACAATGAACAGAGGGAGCCAAGGTAACACTTCCAAGATAACCATTGAAACGTTTTCTGGTAGAACGAAAGAATGGTTTATCAACAAGGGTAGTAAAAAAATATGGCGAGTACATTTCAAATAATCAATGGTTATAAATTGTGTAGGATTTTATTTGAACAGCCCCTTTCTATTTTGGATAATACGCATCGGGTTCCCTACGTCACGCTTATGACGTAAGTAAATGCAAATTAGAATTTTACTATGAATGTTTGTTGCTTATTTACTGATTCTACATAAACTTTTTAAAAAAATGATACCTCGGTAGTTACGATACAACTATTATTAACCTTATCCGTACGTCGTGTTTAGTATCGCATTCATACAACGTGGGGAACTCTGTGCCACCACTTTCCAAAGAGGAAATTGAGGGGTGATGTAAAGGAAACGAAACTGGAGGAGAGGGGAGGATAGACCGATGAATGTTCCAAGTGCATCAAAACTCTTAACTTACTTATTACTTCGTCTTAGATGAACGTTGGGAACTCTTAACTTACTTATTACTTCGTCTTAGATGACCGTTGGGAACTCTTAACTTACTTATTACTTAGTCTTAGATGACCGTTGGGAACTCTTAACTTACTTATTACTTCGTCTTAGGTGACTGTTGGGGCACTAAGGATGATCGGGCAACCACTTGTCTCCATTTTACTCTATTTTCAGCCTTTTGAAGGGCTTCCACAAACTTTCAACCTGTCCTTTCCGGGATGTTTTCCCATCTTTTTCCGGTCAACAAGGGATCTTCCAATCTTTTCTTGTCTGCCTCTCCTTTTCCCTCCTTGTACACTGCCTTGTAGTATTGATAGGGGCGTTAAACCTATACCGTTGCACCAGTTTTTTCACCATGCCGTAATACTACTAATACTACTTATACTACTAATATTACTAATATTACTACTAATACTACTTATACTACTAATATTACTACTAATATTATTACTAATACTACTAATATTACTACTAATACTACTTATACTACTAATATTACTACTAATATTATTACTAATACTACTAATATTACTACTAATACTACTTATACTACTAATATTACTACTAATACTATTACTACTAATATTACTACTAATATTACTACTAATATTACTACTAATACCACTACTAATACCACTACTAATACCACTACTAATACCACTACTAATACTACTACTAATACTACTACTAATACTACTACTAATACTACTACTAATACTACTACTAATAATAAATACCATTCATACTGCGAGTTTCCATTTTCTAAAAAAAACCTCAATGCGTATTACACCCAAAAAGACATCACATCTCAAAAATTAAACGACATGCGTGTACGTAAAACAAAGTATTATTCATACAATATCTATGTATATGTGTAAATATTTCTGAGAAAAACAGTCTCGCTGTGAGGTTGGAAATGTACTCACTAAAAATATACAACGCAATAAAAACTCACGAACGGTCACAATAAAATTGAAACGTGAGTAGCTAGAAACTTTAATTAAGTCATTCGAAACGTGAGTAGCGAAAAACGTTTCTCCTCTCTCTCTCTCTCTCTCTCTCTCTCTCTCTCTCTCTCTCTCTCTCTCTCTCTCTCTCTCTCTCTCTCTCTCTCTCTCTCTCGCTCTCTCTCTCTCTCTCTTTCTCTCTCTCTCTCTCTCTCTCTCTCTCTCTCTCTCTCTCTCTCTCTCTCTCTCTCTCTCTCTCTCTCTCTCTCTCTCTCTCTCTCAGGCACTTTACACGAACTTCCCACTTGGCTGGGTCCTATCGGAGACGGATGTTAAATAGGTTCCGGGGCTTCGTGGCCTAGAGGTTAAGGTGTTGGCTTCTCATTCAAAGGTCCCGGGTTCGAATCCGGGTAGCGACCGAAAAATTTTCTTTTCTAAAATTGTCTCTTTCACCTCCTTTTCTGCTCTCTAGCAATGTTCTGTTGTCTGCTTTCGTTTCCCCTTTCTGCCCCCACCCCCTCACCTCCTTTGCCCCCTCCTCTGGGCTCCTTACTCTTTCTACAGCCTTTCTACTGCTACTCCTTGGCTCCTCCTAACTGCTGTCTTTCTGCCACACCCCTGATCTTCTGGTAGGAAAGATCTACGCCTAGCCTTCTCGGACAAGGGCGAAATATCTCGCAGGGCCCGTGTACAAGTTGCGCACGTTAAAGATCCTTTGGTGGTCTAAAATCGATAAGAGTAGGCTTCGGCCGCCACCCGGGCAAAATTCAAAATTTCCTACCAACTGAAAATATTAGGTGTGTCCCGCGCGTTCATATGACCTTACGCAGTTGCAAGCACCGTAAAAACACTTACCAAAACAAAAAACAAACAAAAAATAGGTCCCGCCTCTGAAATAACCTAATAGTGTTGATAGGGGCGTTAAACTCATACCATTTCACCATTTATTTATCTTGGAAATGCGCTCACTAAAAATATACAACGCAATAAAAACTCACGAACGGTCACAATATCTCTCTCTCTCGCTCTCTCTCTCTCTCTCTCTCTCTCTCTCTCTCTCTCTCTCTCTCTCTCTCTCTCTCTCTCTCTCTCTCTCTTTCGGGGGGTGGGGGAGGGGGGGTGCAAGTTTCAGTTTTGTCCTAGGTATGTAGCGTCTGTGATATGTTGTGATGTTCCAGCACCTTTTTAACTCCATCCAGCCAGGTATTTCTTGGTCTTCCTCTTGATTTAAAGCCGGATTCTCGAGTGTTATAAGCTCTATCCTCTAGCTGTTTCTGGGGCTTTCTGATTAGATGTCCAAACCATTTGACTCTTTGACGCTTTATGAATTTTATTACTTGTGGTATTCCAGTGTGTAGACGTATGGTTTCGTTTCTTATGCGGTCTCTTCTGGTAATGTTGATGGTTTTGCAGAGACAGCTGATTTCACATGCATTGATTTTTCTTATTTGTGTCTTGTTTAGAGACTGTTTGGCACTGGTATGTTAATGTTGGTATGAAGATGCTATTGATGAACTGGGATTTCATTTCGTTTGGGATGTTCTTGCGACTTAGCATGGGTGCTAGCTGGCAGATCACTGCATTTGCCTTCATAGTTCTTGTTTCTATTTCTTTGTCCATACGCGCATCTTGGTTGAAAATGCTTCCCAAATATTTAAATTTCTCTACTTGTTGGAGCTGTATTCAATCAATAAGAACGTTCAGTTTCCCTGGGTTTCTGCTGACCTTCATAACTTCTGTTTTTGAGATGGAGATTTTCATGTTCAGGTGTTTACATTCCTCATTTAGTTTTGCTGTGTGTTTTTGTAATTCCTCTTCGTCTGTATTTAATATACTCTAGTCCTCAGCAAATAGAAGCTCTTTCAGTTCAGTGATGTTGTCATTTGCTTCTTTCGTGATCTTATCCTTGTAAGTGATGAAGAGAATCGGAGAGAGAACACACCTTTGTCTCACCCCAGACCTTATGCAGTTGTGAGCGCCGTAAAACCCCATACTAAACTTTTTTAAAAACTTTTACAAAACCCAGACCTGATGGAGAACCAGTCCGATAGTCATTCTGTTGATCTTACAACACACAGGCTGTTTTTGTAAAGTGCCATGTTTTCCAGCAATTGTCTTCTTACAGCATATTCCTCTAAGACTTCCCAAAGTTGACATCTATCTACCAGGTCGAACGTCTTTGTCATGTGCAATGGCAGTCTCACACAACTGTCTTAATGTAAAAATAGCGCCAGTACAGCCCCTGCCTTTTCTGAAGCCAAACTGAGATTCACAGAGTTGACTCTCTACAATTGGTTTCATTCTCATTTCCAGTATTTTGGCAAACATTTTGCCCGCATGGG